TTCTATTTTGTTCCGTTGGTCTATATTTCTGTCTTTGTGCCAGTACCATACTGTCTTGCTGACTGTAGTTTTGTACTATAGTCTGAAGTCAGGCAGGTTGATTCCTCCAGTTCCATTCTTCTTTCTCAAGATTGCTTTGGCTATTCGAGGTTTTTTTGTATTTCCATACAAATTGTGAAATTATTTGTTCTAGTTCTGTGAAAAATACCATTGGTAGCTTGATAGGGATTGCATTGAATCTATAGATTGCTTTTGATAGTAAACTCATTTTCACTATATTGATTCTTCCCATCCATGAACATGGTATATTTCTCCATCTATTTGTGTCCTCTTTGATTTCTTTCATTAGTGTTTTATAGTTTTCTATATGGGTCTTTTGTTTCTTTAGGTAGATATACTCCTAAGCATTTTATTCTTTTCGTTGCAATGGTGAATGGAATTGTTTCCTTAATTTCTCTTTTTGTTTTCTCATTGTTAGTGTGTAGGAATGCAATGGATTTCTGCGTGTTAATTTTATATCCTGCAACTCTACTATATTCATTGATTAGCTGTAGTACTTTTCTGGTGGAGTCTTTAGGGTTTTCTATGTATAGGATCATGTGACAGTTTTACTTCTTCTTTTCCTATCTGGATTCCTTTTATTTCTTTTTCTGCTCTGATTGCTGTGGCCAACACTTCCAAAACTATGTTGAATAGTATTGGTGAGAGTGGACACCCTTGTCTTGTTCCTGACTTTAGGGGAAATGCCTTCAGTTTTTCACCATTGAGGATAATGTTTGCTGTGGGTTTGTCATATATAGCTTTTATTATGTTGAGGTATGTTCCTTCTATTCCTTCTTTCTGGAGAGTTTATCATATATCAATGTTTAATTTTGTCAAAGACTTTCTCTGCATCTATTGAGATAGCCATATGGTTTTTAGCTTTCAATTTGTTAATGTGGTGTATTACATTGATTTGCAGATATTAAAGAATCCTTGCATTCCTGGGGTAAAGTCCACTTGGTCATGATGTATGATCTTTTAAAGATGCTGTTGGATTCTGTTTGCTAGAATTTTGTGAAGGATTTTTGCATCTATGTTCATCAGTGATATTGGCCTGTAGTTTTCTTTTTTTGTGGCATCTTTGTCTGGTTTTGGTATTAGGATGATGGTTGCCTCATAGAATGAGTTTGGAAGCTTACCTTCCTCTGAAGTTTTCTGGAAGAGTTTGAGTAAGATAGGTGTTAGCACCTCTCTAAATTTTTGGTAGAATTCAGCTGTGAAGTCGTCTGGTCCTTGGCTTATTTTTGCTGAAATATTTCTGATTAAAGTTTCGATTTTCTGTGCTTGTTTATGGGTCTGTTATTTTCTATTTCTTTCTGATTCAGTTTTGGAAAGTTATAGTTTTCTAAGAATTTGTCCATTTCCTCCAAGTTGTCCATTTTATTGGCATATAGTTGCTGCTAGTAGTCTCTTCGGATCCTTTCTATTTCTGTGTTGTCTATTGTGATTTCTCCATTTCTATTTCTAATTTTGTTGATTTCATTCTTCTCCCTTTGTTTCTTGATGAGTCTGGCTAATAAGTCAGATAATAAGTCTGGCTTGTCACATTTATTTATCTTCTCAAAGAACCAACTTTTAGCTTTGTTGATTTCTGCAACATAGCTTTGAGGATCTTCTCTAGACAGGAAACACAGAAAGGGTGTGTAAACTCGAACCAAAAATCACAAAGTAAATGACAACGGGACCATACTTATCAATAATTACCTTAAATGTAAATGGGTCGAGTGTCCCAACCAAAATACAAAGGCTGGCTGAATAGATACAAAAAAAGACCCCTATATATGCTGTCTACAAGAGACACACATCAAAACAAGGGACACATACAGACTGAAAGTGAAGGGCTGGCTGGAAAAATATTTCACGCAAATGGAGACCACAAAAAAGCAGGAGTAGCAATATTCATATCAGATAAAAAGAGACTTTAAAATAAAGGTTGTGAAAAGAGACAAAGAAGGACACTACATAATGATCAAAGGATCAATCCAAGAAGATATAACAATTATAAGTATATATGCCCCCAACATCAGAAAAGGCAATACTCTTGCCTGGAAAATCCCATGGATGGAGGAGCCTGGTAGGCTGCCGTCTATGGGGTGGCACAGAGTCAAACACAACTGAAGTGACTTAGCAGCAGCAGCAGCAGCACCCAACATAGGAGCACCACAATATGTAAGGCAAATGCTAACAAGTATGAAAGGGGAAATTAACAATAGTACAATAATAGTGGGAGACTTTAATGCCCCACTCACACCTATGGGTAGATCAACTAAACAGAAAATTAACAAGGAAACAAAAACTTTAAATAACACAATGGACAAACTAGACCTAAAAGAGGCATTTTAAATGCCACTTATGAGCCCATGAAACTCACCTGCCATCTTCATCTCTCTAACTTCACAATGTTGTGTCACATGGCAGGGGTATTGTGCCTCCTCCAAACCTGGCTTCAGAGCCACAGTATCCAGGCTTTCATTCTGTCTCTCTCACATTTCATCATTATCTAGTTTTTAATATCTTGCCTAAAATCCCTCCTTAATGACTAGGCTGTATTCAAGTGTCTGTGGAAATGAGGATCATTCCACATTTTTCCTACAAGGTGGTCTTAAAGCACCTTGAAGACCATTTAATTCTGGGCCACCTATAAGAAATCTTCCATCCCACCTCCTTTTCTGTGTTCACATAGCTCTGCTCAGTTTTCCAGTTTCCAGTCTGAAACCCCTGTCTTCAGGCTGAAAATTCAGTGAATACACGTGCCTTTGCTCCACTTGCAGCTGTCTTTTGCCATTTTGAAGACTCGCAGTTGTCTCTTCCAGAGCCCCTGAGCACCCCTATATATACCCCTGCCCAGGGGGCACACCCTTATGCTTTATGAGGTCATCAATTCACTTCCCAAACCAATGGTGGCCCTGGGTGAGCCTTGACATCACAAAGCCCCTTCCTGACACCTCTAGGGTAGGATGGGGAGAAACTAAGATGGTTTGGTGGGATAAAAGAGGCATTTTAAGTGCCCACGAAGCTCACCTGTGTTCTTCATCGCTCTGACTCAACACTAATGTGTCATATGGCAGTGGTAGTGTGTCTCCTCCGAAACTGGTTTCAAAGCCACAGTATTCAGGCTTTCATTCTGTTCTCTATCACCATTATCTAGTTTTTAATATTTTGCCTAAAATCCCTCCTTGATAATTAAGCTGTGTTTAAGTGTCTGCTTTCCTCATACAAGGTGGTCTTAAAGCGCCTTGAAGACCATTTAATTCTGGGCCCCCATCCCACCTCCGTTTCTCAGTGTTCACATAGCTCTCCTCAGTTTTCCAGTCAGAAACCCCTGTCTCCAGGCTGTGAGAATTCAGTGAATACACATGCCATTGTTCCACCTGGAGCTGTCTTTCCAATTTTGAAGACTGGCAGTGGTCTGCTCCAGGGACTGCCCTTCTACCCACAGGGGACGCCTCCACCACCCCCCCCAGGCAGTTTTGTGCTTCGTCCATGTGAGAATTGGTGAGGCTGCCACCCCCTGCAATGGCCCCATGATCCCGAGGACCCTCTGTCTCTCCTCTGCATGGAGGGCAGGGGGGGTGTTGGCCTCCATGGGCCACAGAGATGCCCCCTCCCACAGGCACAGTGTGCACCTCTTTGGAGCCAAACCTGCGTGTGCAGCTTGCCTGCCCCCTCCTCACCAGTCACACTCTTCCCACCCGTCTCCGTCTGCTGGGGCTCATCCCAGCCCCCCTCATCTAGGGGAGTTTGTGGGCAATTCCTGGTCTCCCCTGGCCTGTGGTGGCATCGCTCACTCCTTCACATAACCATCTCCTCCCTGGGTCTTCACATCCCCTCTGTCTGCACCTGTGTCCCGATTTCCCCTTTGTAGAAGGACACCAGTCATACTGGGTTTGGGTCACCCTAATGGCCCTATTTTAACTTGATCATTTCTGCAAAGACCCCCTCCCCAAACAAGGTCACAATTCTGCAGTCACACTCACATATTAGGGCTCCAACATATGAAATTGTGGGGACATGTTCAGCCTGTAAGAGTGCCCCCACCGTCTGCTGCTTCTCCACCAGCTCTTGTGTCTCTGGGCTCATCACTAACTGCACCTCCTGGCACTGTGAGGAGGGTGAGAACGGGGCATCTCCTGACTTCACTCCCCGCCCCAGCCCCGCCAGAGTGCGTCTGTGCAAGGGTGGGGGGTAGCACTGGGGAGGAAAGCCCTCTGGAGGGGCGGGAGCAGGGAGGGGTTGGCCTGCCCTCTGCAGCACACTCTGCCCCACCCCTGCGCTTTGGGCCCCTTCAGCCTCTGCTCTCCTCTCTGCCACTTCCTGCTAAGTATCGCAGGTCAGCCCACGTGGTCACCCTGGACCCCAAGGAGGGAGTGCTCTGCCTATTGTGGCCCAGCCCAGGTCCATATACACTGCTTCTACACCAGGCCCCCCAGCGGGGTGGCATCCAGCGTGGCCCCGCTGCCCCTGCTGGCCTCAGTGCCCCCTCTTTCCCAGGCCCCAAGGCAGAGGAGGAGCCCTGCCTCCTGCTTGAGTATGACTGAGTCCCATGGAGCCCAGACTTGCCGGCCGCCTTGCCTCAGCCAAGCCCATCCCCTCACCACTGCTTTCTCTTCTATTCCCCAGGAGCTTAAGCCTGGGGCCCTTGGGGACCCTGGTCAAGCTGTAACCGGAGCTGTGGTGGGTTGGGGGTCTCCAGAGCCAGATCCAAGCCTGTGACCAGCCCCCACCTCAGGGCCTGGGGGAGTACTGCAACGGGCCTCGGATGCAGGGGGTGGCCTGCCAGGCTCTACCGTGCCCAGGTGCCTGCCAGGGATGGCGGTAGGGGTCAAGGAGGAGAGGTGAGAAAGCTATGGGGAGCATTCTGGGGAGGCCAGTGGGGAGGTGGGGTGTCGGGGGAGTGACCTGTACAGCTGTCTATGCACCCGGTGCCCTCCCCCCAGCAGTGACCAACGGCACCACAATCAAAGGGGCCCGTGGTCCTCGCTGCCCTTGCTCCTGCGATGACCTCGTGGTGAGTCTGGGCTCCTGATGGTCACGTTGCCGGACGGCAGAGCGTGGTCCTTCTGAGCTGGAGCCACCCGCAATTGGTGGGAAGGATAGGGGTCAGTGCCCAGCCGGCCTGGCTCCTGGTTCTAGAGAGCAGCGAGAGTGAGCCTCATCCAGCTGCCCTTGTCATCCTTACTGCATATATGTTTTTCAGTTGACATGTTTTATGATAGAAACAGCAGGAACACACAGGAAAAGGGAAGTCCTCTTGGTGGATCATCCAAAACTCCCCACGTGGGGCGCGTTGATGTGCAGACCTTGACCCTATGTGCGTTTGAGGGCGCACTCCTGTTCTGGGGCATGGGACCAGTCCAGGACCATGGAGAGGAATCCAGGCCGGCCTCCGGCAAGGGGGCATGATCGAGTGGTGCCTGCACAGTGGCGAGGAAGTGGTCCCCTGCCAAAAGATGCTGGAGCAAACAGCTAGAGTGAAGGGATGGTGCTTTGAGAAGCCCTGCTCGGGCCTGTCCAAGGAGGACAGGAGGCTCCACACGGAGGCGGGTAGGACCAGGACACGATGCGTGGTCCCGGCCTCTCCCAGGGAGCCCCAGCACCTTCCCAAACGCCCACCGCTCCCGCCAGCTTTCCAGGCCCCGGCTCCCTCCATCCTAGGAGATCTGCCTCGGTCCCCACTCAAACCTCCATGGGGCCCAACGTCTGGTGGATACTCCATTCAGGGAAGCTCCTCACAAGCTGTCCCTTCCCCACTCCCCTGGAGGAGAAACTCCAGTGAAGACTCAGCATAAACTGTTTAGAAAAGACAGCTATGAACCGGAGCATCACACTTCTTCCCCCCACCCCAGGCCCCCACAGCCTCCTTCTTCACTTTATCGTGGCTCCCAGGTGCCCACTTCATCCTGCAACAGTCCCCTTGGGCCCCCCTCCCACTTTCCATTGCCCCAGGCCCTCCCTTCCTTGTCCCCCAGCACTGCGTTTGGCGCTGTCATGCCGGCTGTTACTGCCCCCCAGGCCAGGTTCTAAGTGCCGAGGGTACCATCTGCATGCAGGCCAGTCACTGTAGCTGCCTGGATCTGTAGCTGACTGGGAAGCAGCACCATCCGGGTGCCCAGCTGGCCAGGCCTGATGGCTGCAACTACTGGTGAGGGCTGGGGGTGGGGCTTGCAGGCAGGATGCCACAGGGGAGGGCAGGGCTAGTCCACTCCGTGTCTCACACACCCAAGCTCTCCCAGTCTCAGATGATGCAGGCTAGGCAGGCTAGGCTCCCATAAGTCCTAAAAAGATGTGGCAGGTCCCCTAACCACTGGTCTGACAGATGGGGAAACTGAGCCAGCCAGCTCTGGGGGTCTGGGAGACTTGAGAGCTGGACATGTGCTTTGAGAGGGCAGGGGGTGGTGATGTGGTGCTTCCTCCTGCTGTCTGGCCTCCTTCAGCTGCAGATGATTTGTGGTCAGTTCCCCATAGGACCGAGTCCATAGGATACCTGAGAGTGCTTTGGGTGGGTCAGGGAGCAGGGTCTGGAGGTGCTGGAGAGTGGGGAGGGGGACTGAGACCTCAGAGGACAGTGGAGGTACAGGAGAGGGGAAGGGGAGGCAGATGGGGAGGGGCATATGTAGAGGGCACAGCGTGAGTGAGCTGCCCTCTCTCTGTGCCTGTGTGCCCCACCCAGCACCTGCTCCGAGGCTGGCTCACCTGCACAGACCGGCCTTGCCCAGGTATGTACCACGCTCAGAACAAGGTGAGGAGAAGCAGTCTGGGGGTGCAGTGAGGGCTGGGACTGGGGGTGGGATGGCTGCACCCCAGGGCTCACCATTCACCCCCACAGTGCCTGGCACCTGGTGTCCATAGTTGAAGTGGACAGCATGCTCCCAGCCCTGCTGGGACCAGATGAGGACCCACTCCAGCCTGCAGCTGTCTGGCACCACAGCATGGGGGGGCCCCGAGCCCCAGGCAGGCAGGGGAGGCAGGGGCCCAGCATCAGAGGGAGACCTGTGCCAGCCCCCCTGAGTGCCCAGGTGAGACGTCCCACTCGGGGGCTTCAATCCCAGGGGGCTGCGACCTCTTGGGCCTCCCAAGGCAAAGGGGTGCTTTTGTATTCCTGCCACAGTGGACGAAGCTTGGAGCCCGAGGGGACCATGGTCTCCCTGTGATGTATGCCTGGGGCAGTCCCATCACAGCCGAGCATGTAGCTGGCCTCCCACCTCTGGGGGCCACAGGCAAAGTCGACCCTGCCAGGGCAATTCCACTCAGTGCACAGGTGAGGACTTCTGTGGAGATGCTGGGTGGTGGTGGTGGCTTGTACGGCTAGGAAAATGCTACCTCTGAGCTTTGACCCCCTGCATCTGACCCTCCCACGCCCCTGCATACACACATGCATGCCACTTCCTTTGAGGGAGAACCCTTAGGGCACTCACCCTGTGGAACTGGGCGAGTGAAGGTCCTAGCAGGTGGTGAGCATGACAGGAGGGCTGGTCACTCAACTCTCTGGGACCCCCGCCTCAGAATGGACCCCGTCCCAAACCTACCTGCTCTGCTTCCCTCCTGCTACAGACTGTGCAGGTAGCCAGGGTCTTCTCCCCTATGGGCAGCCCTGCCTCCACTCCTGCGAGGACCTGTCTTCCCGAGGTCGTGTGCCAGCCAGACTCGACAGGCTGCCAGCAGCACAGCTGTGACCCCCAGGCCAGCTGTCCCAGGATGGCCTTTGTGTGCCCCCCCCACCACCCACTGGCCCAGTGCCGCTGCCAGTACCATCCCAGAGGCATGGGTCAGTGTCTCCCGCAACCACCCCCCAAGGTGCCCGGGGCCTGCCTGCCAGAGCCCCACCTGCTGCACCCAGGTCTGCAGAGGTGAGCACTGTCCCAGGCCCTGTCTGGGCACTCCAACTTCACTCCTAATCCCCATCCTGGCCTTTAACCCTGACTCGCAGGTTGCCTTTTGACCTCTCCCACCCCATCCGCCACATGCCACCCCTCAGCCAGGCCAGTGGTGCACAAACAGAGGAGGAAGCAGGCGGATTTGTGGGGCAGGGGAGACTGTAGTAGCAGGCGTGACCTAGGGTCTGGCCCAGGGAGGGTATGGTCTGCATGACTCCGGGGGCGACTGGAGGGGATGGGCACTGGGGTGAGAGGAGGTGGGCAGAGCAGGCCGTGAGGGCGGTGTGGCCCAGGTACTAATTCAGGGTTCAGCCATTAAAGCATCTGCCAGCAATGTGGGACACCCAGGTTCGATCCCTGAGTTGGAAAGATCCCCTGGAGAAGGAAACGGCAACCCTCTCCAGTACTTTTGCCTTGAAAATTCCATGGACAGAAGAGCCTTGGGCTCCACTGGAGCTACAGTCCATGGGGTCACAAAGAGTTGGACACAGCTGAGCAACTTCACTTCAGAGGCAGGCTGCCCGGCCAGGGGTCTGTACCGCGAGTGCCTGCCCGGTGAGGGGTGCCCCTTCTCCTGTGCCCACTTCACCAGGCTGGTGGGCTACTTCTCCACCGGCTGCGAGGAGGGCTGTCATTGCCCAGAGGGCACCTTCCTGCACTGCTCGGCCTGAGTCCCAGTTAGGACTGCCCCTGCCAGGAGCCCAGGGCCCTCCCTTCATCCATCAGCTCTCACCTCTACAGGCCACGTGGCCTCTGGACCGCCTCTTAAGTGTCCTGACTTAGAACTGGTGGCCCTGAGACCCCGGGCAGGGGAAAGGAGTCAAGGGACACTTCCCAGCAGAGCTAAACTCAAAAGCATGTGTTCCGTTCCTGGCTCAGGCCCTTTATGCTTCCCTCGCTCCCCTCCCGTGGGTCCCATCCTTGAATGGCCTATGTTGACCCTGCCTTGTCCTGGCTCAATGCTCTGATCAGGAAAGAGCCTGGCCAGCCCCAGTCAAGCCATAGCCTTACACTGCTCATGGTCAGCCCCCTGACTCAGGTACACAGTCCAACTTGCTACTGGAAGTGCAGTCTCAGGGCCCAGAGCTGTATGGAGTCTCCTTCCCACCCGTTTCCTTCTCCCCACCCCACTTCCGAGGATGTCCACAGGGGGCGGGTGGCAGAAGACTGGCCCCCGGCAGGTGGCTCCAGCCCGTGTCTCTGCACTTTCACCCCCCATCCCCAGGAATGCCCCTGTGTGCTCACCGCCTTATGCTGCAGGAGCTGGAAGCTGCAGGTGCCGAGCCAGGGGCTCACCTGTCTGTCCTGGGAGAGAATGGTCAGCCTCTTGGGCCTGGCGATGAGTTTGGCTTGTTTCAGAGCCTCAATACAGACTGCCACAACTGGTGAGGGGGTGGGAGATTTGGGGTGGGGGAATTTGATAGATTATGAGAGTGTAGGAGATTTGAGGTAGGGAGAATTTGAGGGCAATGGTGAGAGTGTACGAGATTTGGGATGGGGGTAATTTGAGGGGGATAATATGAGTGTGGGAGACTTGGGGTGGGGAATTTGAGGGACCCCTGAGCACCCCTATATATATCCCTCCCCATGGGGCCACACCCTTATACATTATGAGGTCAGCAAGTCCCTTCTCCAACCTCTAGGGGAGGATGGGGAGAAATTAAGATGGTTTGGTGGGATAAAAGAGGCATTTTAAATGCCCCTTATGAGCCCGTGAAACTCACCTGCCATCTTCATCTCTCTGACTCTACACTGATGTGTCACATGGCAGGGGTAATGTGTCTCCTCCAAACCTTGGTTCACAGCCACAGTATTCAGGCTTCCCTTTCTCTTCTCGCTCACCTTTCACCATTATCTAGTCTTTAATATCTTGCCTTAAATTACTCCTTGATAATTAGGCTGTGTTTGAGGTCTTAAACCACCTTGAAGACCATTTAATTCTGGGCCACCTACCAGAAAACTTCCATCCCACCTTCTCTTCTCAGTGTTCAGGTAGCTCTCCTGAGTTTTACAGTTTCTAGTCTGAAACCCCTGTCTTCAGGCTGGGAGAATGCCCTGAATACACCTGCCCTTGCTCCACTTGGAGCTGGCATTTGCCATTTTGAAGACTCACCGTTGTCTCCTCCAGAGCCCCTGAGCACCCCTATATACATGCCTCCCTAGGGGGCCACACCCTTATGCTTTACGAGGTCAGCAAGTCACTTTCCTTCCTTTTCAACATGTAAAGAATCAATTTTCAGTTTATAAAT